CAGCAGCAGCAGCAGCAGCAGCAGCAGCAGCAGCAACAGCAGCAACAGCAACAGCCGTTGCCGCAGCAGCAGCGCCGCAAAGCTGCTGGACTACAGGAGCGTCCAGCTGGCAGTCAGGTGAGCAGCCGCAGCAAGGCGCCAGCTGCTGCCTCCAAGCAAAGCTCAGCTCCGAGCAAGCCCTGGATAAATAGCACGAGCATTGCCGTTGTGCCGCCAAGTCGCCAGACCAACACCATAAACAACAGCAACAAGAGCAATGCCAGAGCCAAGAAGCACCCTCGCTGCACCTCCGCCAGGGAGATGCATCGCGATGTGCCGCGGCCGCCAGTGACGCCGCCGCCAGCGACGTCGCGTGTGGCCTTTGGACGCAGCTGCCCCGGTGGGTCGTCGACCATAACCATGACGCAGACGACAATGACAACACTGACGCGTCGCGGCGGCGGCAACTCTGGAGGCAGCGGCAAACAGAGATGCCGCCAGGACACGCCCAGGCCGAAGCCGATGCAGGCGGCGCACGATCAGCTGGAGCTGCTGCTGACGCGCATCGAGCAGGACACGGTGGCGCCGACGGCACGACGACGCAAGCCGGCCCCGGCGAAGACCGTGCGCCGTCAAATGGAGAATCCGCCGCCAGTGCCGACAGTGACGCCGATGGGCAGCGCCCGAGGCCAGGACCTGAACCAAACGCCGCGACCCAGCAAGCGCGTTGCCCATCACAGAACCCCCAACCTGGACGTGGCCGGCGGCCATGCCGGGGATGGCTTCGTCCCGCTTACCCAGAATCCCCAAATGCTGGCGCCCGGGAAGCGCGAGGCCCTGCTCGAGTTGCTGTCGCGCAGCGAGCCCCAGGACCAGGAGATCGTCGATGCCTTGCGCAGCGAGATCAGCTTTATCGGCGACCCCTCCACAGACGCCATGCGTCTCACTCTCCAGATGCTGTGAGTATGCAAAAAAAACACACACACACAAACCAACAAATGGACGTGCATGTACATATGAGTGTGTGTGTGTGTGTGTGTGTGTGTGTGTATATGTGTATATGTATAAGTATGCCCACTTGGCCCATGCTGCTGAAACAACGCAGGCGGCGGCGTCGTCGTCGTCGGCCAATGATGTCATCATCGTCATCGTCGTCGTCGTCGTGCTCAGAGAGCGTCAGCTGCGCGCTCTCCAGCGTTTTTGCTTTGCCATTGCCATTGCCAGTTTCAGTTTGTTTTTTTTTTCTGGCTCTGCTCGCGCCTCACCTCAGCCTCAGCTGCCAATGCGCAGCTGACGCCATCGCTGGCGCTGCTTTCGAGTTACTCACCCAGCGGCAACTCCGCTGCCGTCGGCTCTGCCTCAGCCGCCGCTGCTGGCGCTGCTGCTGTTGGCATGCAAAGATTTTTGTTTTCGTTTGTTTTGTTTTTATTATTGTTTTCATTTTTGTTTGTCGCCCCCAGTTTGCGATTAGAAGTATTTACTACCAAGTGCTACCTACCTGACTACACACACACACACCCACACACACACACGGCGTGTCTCCTAGGCGCTGTTGGTTAGCGGATCACCTGACTGGATCAATCGGAGCTGACAGCTCCGACATTATCTAGCGACTTGACCCCTATATCGAAGCGGAAACTTATCAATAGCAGACTAAAGACCCATTTATTTATGAGGATATACAGACATACACACGCATACAGACATACAGCTGTTCATATTTGCCTGAGAGACTTTGGGTAACCTTAAGCCTGAAAGCTAGACAAACTATTCGACCTGGCAGATGGGCAGACAGGCAGCAGAAGCTTCACATGACTCAACATGCATGTTTATAATATACACATACATACATGTACCTTTGTGAATGCGTATGTAAACATTTACTTAATGGGTGGTCAGTGGAACACACAAAACATTTATGCTGATATACGAAAAATAAGACTTTTAAGTAAGACTTTGGATAACATTTTCCCATCTAGATGAAGTGCTATCGTATTTATTTTTTGTAGGCGCTACTACCTCGAGCTTTGTGCCACACTATTTCTTTCTTTTTCTGTCTACTTATCTACCATCTCTATCTCTTTCCATAGATATTTCCTTTTCTCTCCCTCCAACTGCTTATTAAATTGTGTATCAACTCATTTGATATCCACATAATCTGCAAACATATCTAGTTGTATTAGTACTTATTTACTTTTCACACCTCTTTCTCTCTCTATCTCTTTCTCTCTTTGTCGAACTTTCTCTCTCACGCACTCTGTGTGACTCGCTCTTTCTCTTTCTTTTCAAGTCTATGCTAATTAGGTTTCAAATAATGCTCATAATTCACTATCTCTTAGATATTAATTACTCACTATGCCTCTCGCTTTCCTTATCTCTATCTCTCTCCCTCTCCTTCTCCAACTATTTGTCTTATTTAATTTTATATCAAATCACCTTGACCGCTTATATTAATCTGATATCAAATCCAGTAATATTATCTATTGTCTCTGCCTCTCTCTTACTCACTCTTTCGTTCTTTGTCTCTTTCTCTGTTTTTCACTCTCTCTGTTAATTTAATTTTTTTTAGAACAACCTTATCCCCATATACATAAATGAGCTACAATCGTATCTAATTGTATTAGCACTTTACCTATGCTATCACCCCTCCTTCCCATTGAAAGTCTTCTCTCTCTCTCTCTCTCTCTCTCTCTCTCTCTCTCTCTCTCTCTCTCTATCTC